AACTACTGCTTGCTATGGCTGTTAGGCCGCCCTAATAATAATTACGTGTAGAGACCGATTTCCCAGTTTAACCTCAATGAACTGCATGGAAAAGATGACAGCCAATCCAGACTAGATTCCAAACAAAAAGGACAGCTATTGGCCAAGATGACTAGGCGTTATTGATATTTTTATGCAGATTTAAAATTCTAACTGTTCTGTATATTCACTAAACTTCCGACGACAACGGTGTCGGCTTTAGGAACCAGTATCAAGAATGTACGCAATAAAGTCTGTTATCTTTTCCCAAATAACTTCTTCCTCCGAATTATGCTTCGTGGGACGACTATTTTGCAATGCACGTACGTATATTGGTTCCACTGTATAGTATTTCCTTCCCATTCCTATCCTTTGCAGGTGTCCTGCTAGCTATCTTAGAGAAGACCGAGATGCTGCCAGCTCTGCCGTACACCAACGCTGGCACAGTAGCCGCCGGCATTCAGAACTTTATCATCTGCATGGAAATGTTCTTCGCCGCCATCGCTCTGCGCTACGCCTTCCCCTACCTCATCTACGCCGTGGGGGTGCATACTGGCGGAGGCGGCGGGAGTGATGGTGGGGGCGGTGGTGGTAGTGGCGACTACGAAAGTCTGATCGACGAGAAGGGTCGTCTCTCTAAGGTCTGGAAGAACGAAGTTGTCGGCGTTGGTTAGTTTCTCTGCTTCTTTGACTCCATCTTGACTTTTTTGAGCAGGCCACTCCCCCAGTCCTGTACGCAGAATGTTAAGGTTTTAGTCTCGGTACTAGCACATCCATTTTCCTCCTTATCTTCCATCAATATGACATTCTACCTTTTGTTCTGTAACGATTGCTAATTGTACTTGTACTTATTACGGCTACGATCATCTCTGATCTAGCTGGCCTCGATGATATCCCTGATGGTATTTCTCCACGCGTGACGATCCGTGACAGCAGACCTGGACAATTCAATCCATTCTCTTCGCCACCCCACCGCCAATGACCATATACCAAAGGTCTAAAAACCACTTTCATGTCCTGACGGACTGCGTCGAGCCGGGTTTGAACTGACCTCCTCTTACAAACCTTCGATTGGGTATCGGTTTCGGTTCGAAGGCAGTAACGCTGAGCTCGTGAGGTTGACGATGCGGAACGTGTCCAGACCACCTCAGTCGTCTATCTTGGATGGCCTGGGATATAATTGCGGAGTGCGGAGTGCGGACTGCCTCATTTGAAACGAAATCGATGTACTTTACTCGAAGGATGCTCCTCAAGTAGTAGTGGTCAAATATCTCCAGTTTCCTTTCATCCTCTACGTGCATAGCCTAGCATTAACAGCCGTAGAGAAGGACAGACTGCAGGGATGTATGGTACACGCGAACCTTCGTGGGAATTCAGATGCCGCGTCGGGTCCATGGGCACTTTCTACGGCTTGGGAAAACTCTGCGAGCTGCATCGGCTCGGAAGACAATGTCATCCTTAAGCTGTCCATTCGGCAACAACCTCGCTCCGAGGTATTTGAAACTGTCTATTTCTTCAAGAGGGGCCTTCTCTTGGGCAGGAATGCGACATGAAAACAAGTTGGTCTTCCCAGCATTTATGAACAAACCAACCTATTTGGCGACCGCCTTCGCACGTGACACTACAGACTGCAAATCGCTAAAGCTTGAGACTAGAAGAGCGATATCATCGACGTAGTCGAGATCAGCCAACCGGCGTCCGGATGCCAGCTCATTCCCATCCTCTTCACGTAGGGCCTTCCCTAGATTCCAATAGAATGAACGACAGGACACAGCTCTGTCGGACGTCAGCCCGAATAGCCAATGGTTATGAAAGGTCGTTATGGACCAGAACCCGCGCAGTGGTGGAACGGCAGTATGGCTTGATCACGTCGATGATTTTTGATGGTACACCCTGCAGTGCCATTATCCGTCATAGGGATTCACGCTGGACGGAATCGGACGCAGTGGCAAAGTCAACAAATCAGACTCGAGGAGAAGGTGAGCTGATCGCTGGGACAATATTTTTATTCTCCTGGCGTTTCGAGATCCGTCGCGGACTCGTCATCAGAGACATAATTAGAGAGCTGTAGCAGATGCAGGTAGCGTATGCACAGGAGTCTGCAGTGTAAAACGGTTAGAATGTAAACGTGTAGAAAAAATCGATAACTGTATGACGTGAGTGCCGATTGGCCACGTCGGCAACGAGAAGCAGTGTTTGGCGTAGGATGGCGCGGTGGCCTGTCTGTTCCCCGAGCGGCGA